TTGTAATGTGTTACATTTTTAATGCTTTACATTACTTGTTACTTAAAAAAGTAATGATTACGTAACTAGCGTTGCTTTACTAGCTACTTGAAAAAAGTAATCTGATTACGTAACTAGAATTAGTTGTAATGTGTTACATTTTTAATGCTTTACGTTACTTGTTACTTAAAAAAGTAATATGATTACGTAACGCGTTACTTTACTAGTTACTTGAAAAAAGTAATCTGATTACGTAATTAGAATTAGTTGTAATGTGTTACATTTTTAATGCTTTACGTTACTAAAAAGTAATAAAAGTAATATGATTACGTAACGCGTTACTTTACTAGTTACTTGAAAAAAGTAATCTGATAGAATTAGTTGAATTAGTTGTAATGTGTTACATTTTTAATGCTTTACGTTACTTGTTACTTAAAAAGTAATCTGATTACGTAAATAGCGTTACTTGTAATGCGTTACCCCAACACTGATTCATGACACTGTGAAAGAGATTCATATACAAACAGCGGCACCTTCTCTCTCTGGACCATCTTCTTGTAGAGGAAATCCGGGAAGGATCGCATGGGGTAGAACCTCCCGGAGCCCTGAGCGCAGGTGAACACGCCGCTCTCACACACCAGACGACCACGGCTGATGGTCACCAGCGGGACGCCGCGACAGCGCTGGCCCTCGTACAGGTTAAAGTCTCCGCCCTGAACCTGAGTGCTCGCCGAGATCGTCCTGCAGCGACAGACAGATACGAGTGAGAGTCACGGTTATTACAGTCAACTGAACCTTCTCTTTGCTTGAAATAAAATCAAATATAAAAAACTTAATAAAAATACATTAAAAAAATGTAATAAAAACTATATACACATAAAAAAATTAATAAACAAAAATAACGACAAAACCCACAAAATTTTAACTTTAACTAAAATTAAATTGAAAACAGAAAATAAAAAAATAAAAATTTTTATCAACTTGTCTTTATTTATTAAATATATAATCCCATTCAAAAGTTTGGGGTCAGTCAGTATGATTTTTTTTTAAAGAAATTAATACTTTTTTTCATTAAGGATGCATTAAATTGATGAAAAGTGACATTTAAGACATTTATAATGTTACAAAAGATTTCTATTTCTAATAAATGCTGTTCTTTTGAACTTTCTATTCATCTGTGAATTCTCAAAAATAAAATGTATCACGGTTTCCACAAAAATACTGAACTGTTTTCAACATTGATAATAATCAGAAATGTTTCTCGAGCAGCAAATCAGCATATTAGAATGATTTCTGAAGATCGTGTGACACTGAAGACTGGAGTAATGATGCTGAAAATACAGCTGCGCATCACAGAAATAAATTACAGTTTAACAGATATTCACATAGAAAACAGCTGTTTTACACTGTAACAATATTTTATGCTCAAATAAATGCAGCCTTGGTGAGCAGAAGAGACTTCTTTTTAAAACATAAAAAAAACTTACTGAACTCAAACTATTGAATGCTATATTTTTAACATATTAATATGATAAAATAAAAAAAAATATTTGTACATTTTTTTTAATTCATTTTATAGTGTTTCTGTGGCAGATCTCTATTTTTCTCATTTTCTCATAGAACTGCTAAAATTAATAGATTAAAAAAATATATTATAAATAATAATGTTTCAATGTATAAATATCTCAGTATGCACTATACTGTAATATATATATATATATATATTTTTTTTTAAGTTATCAATAAAACAAAATTATTGGATTATTGGAGAAAATACCATTTCAGTCTTTCTACTTCAAAATTTTATAATTCATAATTATTTGCAAAATTTGCTAGCAATTTTCGAGTAAAAATTGTTTCAAAGTAAATCCTACACCAGATTTTTCTCAGTCCAGAGGAAGAAAAGCTTTATCTCCCAAAGTAAATCCAGTAAAGCGTCCAGTACCGGCTGGCGTCCGGGTCCCACACCACCACATCAGCGTCCGCTCCCGGGACAATGCGGCCCTTCCGCGGGTACAGATTATAGATCTTAGCCGCATTCGAGCTTGTCACGGCCACAAAGCGATTCTCATCCATCTTACCAGCGACCTGAAGGACAGAAAACATTACTGAATGAATCTGCAGGTTTGAATGAATCGAGTGAGTCAATGATTCAATGACTCATTCATAAAGAGTCCCCTGCTTTGTTTCTGAATGAATCTAAATTTTTAAATGAATCGAGTGAGTCAATGATTCAATGACTCATTTATAAAGACAGTAAAATAGCTTAATTTCTGAATGAATCAGCCGTTTGAATGAATGGTTCAGTGACTCACTCATTAAGCCAGTGACTTGCCGTCACCAGTTTTAGTTTCATATTTACATTTAGTCATTTAGCAGACACTTTTATCCAAAGCGACTTTCAAATGAGGATAATGGAAGCAATCAAAATCAACAAAAGATCTAGATATCTAGAGTTTCATTTCACGTTTTAAAAAAATTATTTCATATCTCAATATTCATTTAAAAAAGAACTCAAAAAGATAAATATCCATGTTACTGAATGAATCTGTGGTTATGAATGAATTGAGCAAGTCAATGATTCAATGACTCATTCGTAAAGACAATCACTTGCTTTTTAACTAAATGAATCATTCTCAATATTAATTTTAAAAAGAACACATTAATATCCATTTATTGTTAATATTTATGCAATGTTGAATCAAAATATTTCTTTCTAAAGCTACTTTTGCCAATGTCTAAAGAATGTTTTTCTCATCTAACACAGTTATAACTTTAAACAATCTTTCTCAGCCCAAATGGATGTGCGATTAATTTGAGATTAATTAGCTGAATTAATGGGTACGTCATTAATGAATTATTGGTTGTTGTCGCACCACTCCTCTCTCCCAGATGACGCTCATGCGGTCCTCCACGCCGGCCGCTCCGTGAGGGATCTTGGTGAAGTCTTCCTTCCCCATGGCCTTCTGCTTGGTGTTGAACGCGCGGTGATCCGACGCCACCACGTTGATGATGTCACTGCGTGCACAGGAAACGCATCATCACACACACACACACACACACTAATGTCAGAAACAGGTTCTGATATCACGGATGAATTAATAGGTGCGTCCCAAATCGCGTACTTATGCACTATTCTATGATGTTTTATAGTATAAATAGTGCGAGTGGTATGTTCACACTGAAAATTTATGCTATGCATAACTATGCACTTAAATAACCGAGAAAATGAAGTGTGGAATGTTGAACACTTTATGCACTCAACTTAAGCGGAGGGGGAGGGGCTATCAGACTCTGATTATTAATGACAAAATAACCAGTGTTGGGGGTAATGCATTACAAGTAACGCAAGCTACGTAATCAGATTACTTTTGTAAGTAACTAGTAAAGTAACGCATTGCTTTTTAATTTAGAAGGAAATATCTGAGTTACTTTTTCAAATAAGTAACAGCAGTTACTTTGTTTCCATGTGTTGAGTGACAGCTCTGGTGTTGCCATGGTGACAGAAATCAGGAGTAAGTGCAGAGCGTTGTGTGTGAACATGATCTTACTGTAGTTCTAGACTAAATATGAACATGTGTTTACTCATCTCACTGCACACAAACACATTCAGTGTTCCTCAAAATATTAATAAGCCAAATTGACACATTTGTGTTTAATTTGTGTTATTGCAGAATAGTGTTGAACTTTCTTCTCCTGCGTCATATTCTTCATGAGATTAGTTTGAGCTGCGCCCTCTACTGTACAGACGAGAATTTACATTAACTTCAGCCTGAGGCGGATTCATTTCACTTTTGTTGTGAAAGGGCTTTTACATTTGTAAAATAACTTTTTTATATTAAAAACAAGCAAGCAAAACGCTGCCCAGATTTAAAAAGTAACTCAAAAGTAACTAACACACTACTTTCCATAAAAAGTAACTAACGTAATTAGTTACTTTTTTAGGGAGTAACGCAATATTGTAATGCATTACTTTTAAAAGTAACTTTCCCCAACACTGAAAATAACCTTATGAAATTCATACACTACATGGTTGAGTACATAGTGTATAAGTGTATAGTGTGTCATTTGGGACGCAGTTAATGGGCGAGGTTCTGGAGGTGGGCGGAGCTGTGAGATGATTGGCGGGTGCGTACTTGCCCAGCAGGCCCATCAGGCAGTCGGGGGTGCTGGGGTCGAGCCGGAGGGGCGGAGCTATGACGTGGGCGGCGGCATGAGCCCAGTCCTGATGATAGTAATGCATGCCGCTCAGCGCCGAATGAGCCAGTGTGGTCTCGGCGTGAACCACCTTGCCTGAAGCACACGATTAAACACCATCACAGCTTTTTACATCCTCTACCAGCATTTATACTCATGGACCACGTTACTGCTAAAATTCAGTTTCTCTTTGGAGATTATGAATCAGAGTTTTCTATACAACCCTACATACAGTACTTTTGGGAAAAAGAAGTCTGCTTAAGTGTACTGGAATTGCACTTCAAATCTTAAAATTAAATTTTTAAAAGATTATATTTACAGACAATATAATAAGGCAGCGGCTATTTGCACTGGGCAAAATAGCATATTTTCTTAGTGACAGATGCTATTTACACTAAGTGCAAATAGCAATGGATTCTATTTACACTATGGTACACTATGGTAAAATAGCAGGTTTTTCTGCTATTTATAGTACTTATTGCAAATTATCTGCACCTCGGTATTGTAGTACATTATAAAATGGAACGCAATAATAATAATGTATTGAATGTAAATTATAATTTTAATTCAAATTATTAAATGGATGCCACCTTATTGGGACGATAAAGCCCTCCCTAACCCTACCGGATACTTTATTTTGAACTTTTCGATTATTTCCTTCATTTTTATTGAACATAATTGCCATTCTCATGTGATATTGAAATGATTTGAAATTTGATTTGAAAAAGGGAGAAAAAAAAAGTTTGGGGAAATGTGATGGATGCCACCTTATTGGGACGATAAAGCCCTCCCTAACCCTACCGGATACTTTATTTTGAACTTTTCGATTATTTCCTTCATTTTTATTGAACATAATTGCCATTCTCATGTGATATTGAAATGATTTGAAATTTGATTTGAAAAGGGAGAAAAAAAAAGTTTGTGGAAATGTGGATTCGAACCCGGGTTGATCACGTCAAAAAGCACATGCCTAACCATCTATGCCACTGGAACTGTTGTTAGGTCATTAATTATTTTATAGTGCTGACTATCCCAATCACATGTTGGTGGGCGGAGTTAGTGTCAATAGACACTCCGATATAATAATAATGAAATAAAAGGCTGCGATATGAAAAATAAATAAAGCACACTCAAACATTAGCTAAAGTGTGCTTCTTTTTCACAAGGGTACTGCATACTTTGCAACAGCTTTTGAGTGAAATATTAATGTGTGTATATAATGCACACATACACACTTAAATCTCCTCAGAAACTCACCCTGCATCCCAGCGGCAGCGATGACATCAGCAGCAGACACACTGGAGACATTCACCAAGTACACTGGACAGTGAGCCTGCA